GTAGATTTCTTCCAATGCCTTTTAAAAATAGCGTTTTTTTATTGGTATTGATGGTTCTATAAAGAACTTTGAATATCCTTGGAACCTTTCAAATGCACAAAAACATCTTTCTAGTGGAAAATGGTCCTTTGGATTATGAAAAATTGGTTCTTTTAATAATTGTTCACTTTGCGAAACTCAAGGTGGTTCTTCTAAGGCGTTGCTGTGAAAACCCCCCTTTTGGAATCTTTATTTTTTAATAAAAGTGTAGGAAGATTATACTATCTTACTGTGTATGTTATTTCAAGTCATCATAAAAACTTCTATGTTATGTTCTATTTTATGACTAGTTAAGCTATTTGACTCCTTGAACGTGGCCCATATTCACATAGATTACGTCTAAGAGGATTCTTGTGTTAAGTTGTCTGCTGATCTGCTCTTTGTTGCAGCGTTTTGCTCACTCATGCGCCCATTGAAAAAAAAAGCCTTAGCCTGTTCTTCTTTGGCTCTCTTTTATGACCTCATCAAGTCAACGGCTGCAGCATTGAACATGTTTACTTGACCTACAAATTGGGGTCAACGCAAAGTAAAGTCCCGAGCAAAGAACAAGGAGAAATAGTAGCCAATGACACAAAGATATTGAGCACAACTTCAAAATCCTCTATGTTTTTTAGGCGAAGCATATGCAAATTGCATTGACAAAATCAAACGGTAAAATACATCAAATGTTAACCCTTTTTAGATGGCACTACGAGGTGGCAGGGAGTAGGAGACAGGTGTAAATAAACGCTGGGGCTCTGTCCTTGCTCTTGTTAGTTGCCATGGCAACGGCTGATAGAGCATCCTATCGATCGCACTGTCCAGTCTGAATTGTGCAGCCCCTGAACCCACGTTTTTTCCCTCTGTGTGGTGATGGGTGTGGATCAATACCTGATATTGTATGCCTCTTTTGCCTTGCGTCTCTCATGGCCTCCATAATAGTGGTAATGATAGGAAAATTAAAGGAAGAAGCTAGATTGCTTCTATAGAAATAGAAGGCTCTATTTCGTTACAAGTGCAAAGGGGGAAAAAAACTACAGTTCCTTCTAAGTTCGAAAGGCACGCTTTTAAAAAACAACAGAGAGCCATCATGTCACTTTGCCTGTATTATTCACAATCATTGTACGGCACTCCAGAATTGCCGTAAGCTGCACTGCGTGCGGCCCACACAGAATTCGCTTTCCCCAGCACGGAAAATGTCACATCTGATTTTTCCGCACATCTCCCTCTCCCTGCATATGCGAACAGCCGCACGGCATTTACCTAAAGTAAGGCCGTTTAGTCCAGCCATTGCTTTGACTGTTATACAAATCAGACTGGCCTGGAAGTCCATACTGCTCCGGTTCAGTAAGAGCTTGTGTAGGAGAGCGAGGCACGGAGGAGGACCTGCGGGAGCTCGTTTAAATCTGGCCTGAGGGATCCCTGCAGCTAGAGGTCACGGTTGGAGCCACCGGCACTGGATTTAAAGGTGGGGCTCCTTAAGGTGCCTCTGTTGCCCCGAGGCACAGCCATCACAATTCCTGCAGTGCTGGAAATGAAAGGCGGTCTAGGACAAAGGCCCTTTCCTTGCTTATGGCCACTGCTCAGAAAAATTACTCAAAATGATTGAGATGTCGGTTACATCTTTCTTTTTCCATCTGTCCTCCCCAGTAACACCCTAGCCTGAGTTTAAGAATAATTATTAGCGGTATGACATTTCGAGTCAAAATATATGATTCGTTTTATAGTACTAGTGTGCAACATTTAAACGTCTATTAATTTTGTATACAGCCTACATTCAAACCATCGGTACAGTTCTATGTGTGTTAAAGCAAACATTTTAGTGTGTTGACTCACTCCATATGTCTCCTAAGAACATTGTTTACTGATACTGCAAAAAGATTTTTTTGAACACACATACACTTCCGTCATCCCAGGCTGAGGAGTCCTCGATCTCCAGAGACCTGACTGAAGTCGCTCGAGCTGTTTCTGTGTTTCTATCAGTGCTGCATGGATTTGGCTGTTCGCCTGCAGTACTGAGAACTGTGCAGCAGTACAAATGTAAATCTGTGTTCCGCGGGGAAGGAGTGTGAGGGGGAGCGGAGTGGCTGCCCTCGCATCCCTGCGAGATGAAAACCCATCCACTCGGAGAGGCACAGCGGCTACCGGGGCAGAAGTCAGGCGCGGTGGGGCCGGGCATGTGGGAGAGAGGAGTGATGGAGGGAAAGTTTTCTCTGCCTCCAGCGCTCTGCATATGTTGTGAGAGTAAGAGCCTGCAGTGAACTTGGCAGCACACTTCAAAACTTTATGGAGCAGACGTGCACACTGCATCCTAATACGAGCTGTGTCTTGATGCGTGATTCGGGATTCTTGAGATTTGTCAGACGCGGTGCCTTCTTGAATTCTTGGCTCCACGATATGAGATTTTGCTCGCCTACATTTTGTGTAAAGAGTGGCTTCTCATTGGGTTTGCTTTGTTCTCAAAGCACACAGATGCATTGCTGAATTAATCATAGTTGATGTTTATCACATTTGGGTACACAGTGTAAATTTAGGTACCAAAGTTTTACCTCAGGCCAAATTACATAACCACTTAGTGGGTCATGTTTAAAATTTAAAGAGATACGAATTTTCAATTTTTGGATGAACTATCATTTACTCCCCTTCATGTCGTTCCAAACCGGTATGACTTTCTTTCTTCTGTGGAATAATAAACGTCAGTGGTGTTTAAAAAAAAAGTCTTAAAGGTTTGGAACAACACGCAAATTTTCATTTTTGTAATAATTTATTATTTTTTATCAAATTATCAAATCATTATTATTATATTATCTATATATAAACTATTATTAAAAATAAATAAATGTTTTTTAACACGAGTCATTGACTGATTACCTGAACAGCTACACTAGATGAAATCTCTGATATTATTTAACATTTCACCTGCCAAAAAAAAAAGAAAAAAAGAAGTGAATTATTACTGACCCAAAATCAGCTTTGTATTTTCAAATACTGCTTCTAGTCTAATGTAAGACAGATAGCACTGGTCCTGGATCTATGGGTGGGCAGCTCCTGTATTCAATTCGAAGTCCACGTTAGCGAGCCACTCTGTCCTGTCCAGGAGCTCCATTCACAGTCAATAGTTATTTATCATCCAACATATTAGCGATTGCAGTGTCGATATGAAGTCCAGCGCTGAAATTAGTCAGTGCCAAGTCTGTAACTACAGCCCAAGGTCAGACACGCACTCTATTGACAGGAGTGATGGTCCGCAGCTCACAGGCACATACATCCAGCCCAAGGTCAAGTGTACGGCACTGCTATTTCAGAAGGGACACGCGTGTAAAACACTCTGTCATGTTGAGGGATGCCAAGCATGAATTCAGCTTGGTCTAGATGCATTTTATCTCATGTTTTGGATACTAATCAATATGGTTAAAGTGGAAGCCACTCTAAAAGATCCAACTATTGTTATGTTTGGCCAGCGATAAAGTTGCAATTTGCATCCATATGTGATTTCTCTCAACATATCAGATGATATATGCATTATTGCACTGCAAAAATTGCCCTGATATTTAAATTATACTCTTTCAGATACGAACAATGGAAAAGCAAAAACAAACACACGACTAAGACTATCAAGATGTCCGACTACTTGCTGTATATATTAATTCGAATCAAACTGAACTATCTTCTGTATTTTTATTAAGATGTGAACTTGTTTAAACGGTTTTGTTGGCAATTGGCATCCTTTAAAAAAATTAAATTGCACTAAAAGTTTAGCCAGGCTGCTAAGCTGAAGAATTGCTAATCAGCAGCAAAACATTTTCTACCCTTCTGGCAAGGTCAGGGGATCACAGTCCCCTGCTAAATGTCCAAAGCCCCCCCCCCCCCCTACCAGAAGCCCTGAGGGGAGATATCACCCCCCACACATAGATACACAGCCTGACAGCAGCTAACTTGGTTCGATTGCTTGGTCCAAACTCCAGAATGACTTGCCCTACCCTCCCCCTACCCCACAGGTCTCTTTTTACATTGTACATTTTAGGTCCAAACTGCGTTGTTTGCATCACCAATGTTAGAGCAAACAGGAAGAGGAGACGCTAAACAGACCAAACTCTGATGTCAAAAACCGAAAGCTCTAGTGTGAAAGCAAAAGGGAGAAGGGGCTTCTGCTGTCTCTGTTCAGTGACAAATCAAGTCACTAACACAGTGTTTCACAGTCAAGCCTGAAACTGCCGATCTGGAATTGGAGTTTGAGACACTTTTGTCTCTAGCCAACTTCTTAGTCCACTCAGGCAATGAGCCAACAAAAATTCTGGAACTAGATAAAGTGAACACTGTTGTAAACAGGGACTACTGCTTATATATTATTGTTACCATGGAGATATCTAGAATATGTTAGCAAATAAAAACTTTGATATATGAGCTGTGTCCAAATTGAGAGGTTGCAGCCTCTGAACTGGGATGCAGTCGTTGTGTGTTTTTTCAAGCAGGTGTGATAAAAGATAAAAAATTTGTATATGTTATTGTTGATTTAGCATGTACACAAATACAGCAGTCACTATTCTGCACTTTATATCTTCATCTAACAGGCAACAGTCTTAGAACTTTGGCTAACATTCTGGCAAGGTTCTTTCAAAGTTATGAATAAACGTTCTTCCAGTAACGTTAACAGAATGTTCATTCCAAGTTATCTGGTCTTTAATAATGTTTTCAAAACATTAGCACAAAACCATTATCTCTACATCAATTATGAATGTTTTTTTTACCCATGAAAATTTTCTAATTTTTTTTTTTTAAGTTTCAAAACATTCTAAAGTAATATTCCTATAATGTTTCCTTAATGTTCGCACAACCAAGAAAAAATATTTTGAAAAAACATTAAAAAACCTGGACGTTATGAACGTTCAGAAACATTTGGAAATAACGTTAACTTAATGTGAACGTTAGCAAAACATTCTTAGAACATATTTTTGTTAGCAGTGTCCTATGTATGCTGCTAATAATTTTTGTTTAGTTTTATTTTAGTTTATACATTTTGTATCTAATTTACAAATTGTCACAACAGAGCAAAAAGTATTTTCAGTGTCTACATGTATAGATTATTTTAGTATGTCACTTTGGTTCTGCAAGTCAAAATAACCTTGTAGTAAATATCACACACTGAAAAGGAAAATGTGTTGCTGGCCTGTACAGATCAGCATCAGGAAACAAAGCCAAATCTAGCTCACATGTCTATACCCCTGTAGACATATATCCTAAAGTGCATTATTTATCAAATTATATCACTCGAATATCCGTAAAAATGTCTGCTTCACTACAAAAAAACGCATGTTTTTATTGGAATCACTGTTTTGATACAATGTGCATGCTGCCATCTAGTGGACTAACTATGCCATCTAGTGCCTAAAATCAAACAATGCTACTAAAATTTCCTGGCACTGAAAGCAAATTATGACTAATCAAATGTATCTCAAAGAATATTAACATATATAACAAAATACACAATTTAGAACTCATGTTATCGTATGCCCTTGAACCATAAAACTTGTTTTACAAAGCATTTCTGCTACTGAATTAATCAAACCAAAATACATTAAACAGCATACAGCATGGGTCAGAATGTTGCTGTGTGATTGTACTGGAAATATTGTGTGTCCTAGTCAAAGTGTTATTTGGGTACACTGACTTTGCGCCTCTTCGGGGCACATGGCTGGGGATCTTGGCTTAGCGGGAACTGTAACTGAGAGATCTGCAGAGACACAGGAAGTGCATTTAGTTGTGGTACACTACAGTTCATCAGAACATGAACACTTGAATAACCTGTTTTAAAGTGATAAACTCGTCTGTTTACTTAACAATTTTTCCTGACTAATAAAAAATACACACAAAGTTCCAGTGATTATACTGGTAAATGTGATAAAAGTCCAACAAACATGACAACACAAACACAGGCCATGGACATTGTTTTTCCCACCTGAGGCTCAAAGATGCGTCCACTTCTGGTCTTCCTGGCGTCCACCTTAAGATCAGCAGTTTTCTTTACCCGATTGTCCATCTAAAATAAACATCACATAATTAAACACATCTTCCTCTCATACACAGGCCACTAGAGCAGACTGTGATGAGGAATTGTGTAGCGCTACCTTTGCATTTGCTGTAAGATCCTCCTTGCTGTTTCTGTGAGGCTGTTGTGAGTTCTCCTGAGTGTCTGTAAATGTGACAGGCATGAGTAATGGTTGCTGGGAGTTAGTGGTGATTACCTTGATTAGGTTCATACCAATGTCTTTAAACTGGCAAACACAGAGTGTAACATTCACCTGAGATTTCAATGCCAGCATCAGTGATGACATTCTCCTTTGTCATAAACTCCTGTGAGCAAATAAGTCCATAATTTAAGACAAATACTCACATTTTGTAAAGTTAAAGGGCATATTGCAGGTTAGAGGACCCAACGAGTCAATGTATAGAAAAATAATGTAGGAACTATATTTTCTTTAAAATATACTTATAAATACGCTACAGAAGCTTCTGGAGTTGTTTTTGTGAGAAATTTTTACTTCCACGTCTGAAAATGGGCGTGACGTAACGGGCGGGAGAGCGGTCGATTCAAACAACAGGAAAACAATGGATCGCAATGACATTTCGGACGCTGAGGAAATACTTACTCGTATGACGGACCACAGCCATACAATTATGAGCCTGCTATGCTGCCAAGAGAGCAGGACAGGCCAGGACTAATGTTAGACAGAACGGTCAGAGACACATTGAGTTGTCGAGTGAGGAGAACCAGTGGAGAACAGGACAGGTGTCTTGGTGAGAGAGACCGGTGTTAGCTTATAGATATACACGTTCGCTAACGATATACACTGCTCACAATATTGTACAGATTATTACCATCTTATATCAGGACAGAGCAGACATGAGTATGTTTAGGGTAGATATATACTATTAAATGTATAAAAACTATACTTGAGTATATTTGTATTGTACTAAAAACATACTCAAGTACATTTTTAATACATATTTTTCACCTGGGTTATAACATAAACAGAAAATTAAAGATTTGAATATTTAAACAACCTAGTAATTTTGTTTTTCAGTTACAAGTTGCCTCTATCACACTATTTGATGCCACTGGCGATCAATATTCTTGCTTCGGCATCCCATGTTGAACTCCATCATATCGCCGGGATGATAATCCTCCGATCTGAAGTGAACGCTACACACGACCGCGTTTTTCGAAGCCGATGTGGAAGAGAAATCCCGTCTCTTCACCTGCACAAACCACACCAGGCACGAAAGATATATAGCACCGTCCTTTTTCTTGTTATGGAAACCTGTGGACTCGATGTCCTGACAGGCCTGAGTTTTTGCAAGCTCCACAAACACAATAATTTACCATGACGATGATAAATTGAAATACAAAAACTACCGAAAACACACTGACTGACGACCGCTCTCACTGAATACCAGCCTACTCTGCACTGAGCCGAGGCTGAGGCTCCCTAGCGTGACGTAAAATGACGCGATGTTGAAAAAAAGCCGTTTTTACGAGCAGTCCAAGAAACGCTCACTTTATCTACTAAATTAGTGCCCTTATGTCGGTTTAAAACATTTTTTTTTTTTTCTGCATTAACTTTTCATATGGTATTTTCATACAAGGTTATATATTAATTTAGATTTTTTTTTAACCTGCAATATTGAGGCCTCTTTAAGCCAGAAAAGGAACTGAGGAAATATCTGATAATTATTAAAAGGACCCACCTGCTGAACTGAAGTTTCAGACATCGTCCCATCCTCAAACATTTTCAAAGACCATTTCGTACTCACGCATACTTCCATATCATCTTCATCAGGCTGTTCACGCACATAAATACATGTATAGTATTGATCACATCTTTACAGGACTGATATTATATTATTTCTGCCAGGCATATCAGTAGGCACCTAGCTTCTTTATCTCACCGGATCAAGTCTCTTCCGCTCAGTGGTGACGTTCATTCTGAGGCTATGAAAAGGTGTGACCACCTCTCCCATGTTCAGATTTACTGGTTCCCTCTCAAATATCAGTGTCCCAGCGTCCTCCTTAAAGCCAGGTGGCTGATACTCCTGGGGAGTCACTGAAACACAAATACACGTTGAATAATAAAACACCAATACTAGAGGTGCCCGAACGATTTACTAAGAAAAGTCAAAAATCTAACTCGACTGTGGGTTAAAAGTAAATTTTGCATTATATTCAAATATATTATATTAAAATGTAAATAAAACAAACAAACAAATGAACTTATGTTCTCTACATTTCAATGTAAAAATTAAATACATTTTTTAGAGATCCACCAGTCGACCGGCCGTAAGTTTTATTTTTGGCCGATCTCTATTCTGGACTTGCACACAAAAAACTGCATTGCAATAATTTCCTAAAATGTAATTTGTGTGGAAATATTATGAAGTCTTTACTCTTTAAACAGGACATTAACACAGGCCAGAGATGGAACACATTAAGGACGAACGCAAAGAAGAGCACACAGACGCACACAGCAAGCTCAATGTTCGTGATGCTCGAATATATATAAAAAAATAGAAACATTAAATAGGGATGAAGGGAACTGCCTTTAGTGTTCAGAAGCACAGCGTTGCTTTGTTTTCAGATGTACCTAAAGAAACTGCTGCTGTTCCATAACATCTGACCTACTGTCAGAGACAAATTGCATCTCAGCCTGCTGTTTTTGTTTTGTGCAGGTGTGTCCTATGTAGCATAATTTCACAAATCTGAAGTCAGAAAATTCTATTTTTGCTTTGAATCTTGAAATGATCTACTTCAAGTATCTAATTATCTAAAAATCTAATTCAAATAAAAAACTATTGCTCATGCTACATGTGTGTAGCATCTTTGTTTGGATTATGATTAAAATGCAGTAGTTGACTTTAATTTCAAATGGCTACAGATATTTTTTGTTTAAGGCCAGTTTGCCAGTTATAGAGCAAATAAACAACACATTATTTTGCTTAAGCAAAGGGAAAAAAAGGGAAAAATATTTGGCATTGGGCAATTTGCTTGTAAAAAATATATAAATTGGAATTGGCAATGAAAAATCATGATCTATACATATCTACATCACTACAAACATTTAAAATAATGAAACAAAAAGATAAATTAGAAATTAAGAAATGCTTCAAGGATATGATATGGCCAAATCAAAAGTCATCACTGGCCAACATTGGCCGGTGGGAAATAGAAGACAAACAATGCCCTTCATGTGCATGGTACAGTCTGTAGCAGATAGCAAGCGTGGATTTACCCTCATCATAGTAGAAGAGTTTCATGTTGAGGCAGACGTCATCAGGCAGTGGGCCGAGATTTTGCATCAGCATGTAAAGTTTACGCATCAGCAGAATACTGCATTTCTGGGTGTTGTCACAGGCCATTTTAGTCAGGGTCTGGCCGCTTTTGCTGAAAACACAGATATTTATTTTCACATGAGGAAACATTAATATGTGGTGGTAAATAATAATACTGCTTGAAAAATGATATTAGGACAGACTATGCAAGTAATGTATTTTGGGCTGTAATATTTAGTATTTTGGGGTTGTAATCCATCATCTAGTTTTGTTAACTGCTCAAAAAGATACGCCACCTCTCAAAGTCCATCTGAGGTCCTTTCTCTGTGTATCTGACTTTAAACTGGTAACATTCAGTCACTATCTGCAAAAAAAGCAAGACATAAAAATGCACATTCAAAGTCTGAAATACAAAACACAAGGTCGTCATGAAATGATTTAATGAGCATTGTATAAAAGAAGAAATTAAGTAACACTGTATGGCATTAGATCAAAAAAAGAGAGAACGTCTGATCACCTGTGGATTGTCTGGATCACAGTAAATCTATAAGTAAAAAAAGTCACATTTTTATTTTATTATATATTATTATAAACTATTATACTTCTGCATGCAATATATAGTCTTAAATTGATTAGTTTTCAAATCAATTAGTTAATACTCACTGATAGAAGAACCATGCGCAGCTGATAAAGCAACACAGATGCAAAAAGTTCAAAGGTTACTAACAGTGTTGATGATTAGTCATATAACTGGTGGTAACACTTTACAATAAGGTTAATTAGTTAACATTAGTTAATGTATTAACTAACATGAACTAACCATGGGCAATACATTTGTTGCTGTATTTGTTAATCGTTGTTAACGTTAGTTAATAAAAATACAGCTGTTCATTGTTTGTTCATGTTAGTTCACAGTGCATTAACTAATGTTAACAAGATTTTAATAAAGTATTAGTAAATGTTGAAATTAACATTAACAAAGATTAATAAATGCTGTATAAGTGCATTTCATTATTAGTTCATGCTAACTAATGTAGTTAACTAATGTTAACTAATGAACCTTATTGCAAAGTGTTACCTAACTGGTTTAGAAATGTAAAAGAAAACTGCAGAAGTGTATAAAAGCACAGACTTACGTATCTTCTTTGAAGTGCATCAAAGCACCCCTGCAACCTGAAATAGTGGAGGTGAGATACTCTTCATGTAGTTTTGACCAGATGTTCTCTAAACATATTACAGTTACAAATGTATGTATATGTAGTTTCGTTTTTAATGTTTTAATAAAAAAAAATTCATGAAGGGAATGTGAAAACATGAGTGTGTCAACTGTCCACTTACCACTGAACAATCTGCTGAGCACCAGGGCAGCTATGCTCTCGCAGGATCAGGACTTCCAGCTCTGTGAAAAAGAAAGGAGAAAAAACACAAAATGTATGTTATGTTATAGTAATGAAATCATGAAGGATTTGTTATCTGCTCCACTTTGACCTCCAACATATTTGCGTCCATATGCGTTTTCTGGGAAAAGACCCCTGAGGTAAGTGATGCTTGAGACAGCAATGGCTAGAAGCTTTTTCACAAGCACCAGCGACTGCTGTTCGGTGGACACCACATCCGGCAGCATCTGACCGTTCTGGAAAAACACACAAAAACACATTCAGTGAGCAAGATGGACTTATGGACATGCTAGCAAAAGCCTGTACAAGCTAATGTTAAATTCGTCTAAAAAAGTTGGTGGTATCGTGAGAAAACAAATATGTACGTTACCTGAACAGGGCGCAGTTGCTGTTCACATGCCATGATGATTGTAACAGATCACCAGCCAAAAATAAGCATCCTGCAATAACGTGCGATTGCTTCAGTTAAGTTACTGGCTTGATGACTTTGGAACAATGCAGCAAATTTTCTGTTACTCAAAAACACACACACAAACCGTGAAAAAATTATAATTATCTTACCAAATAAAGTAGGTAATAAAGATGAATTTGTCGGACAGTTAAATTGTAAAAAATAAGAAATATCCTAAAGACGGATAATAGCATTTACGCAGGCCTGGCCTGTCTCACCTCAACCGACGTTCTAACTGTCAATCACTCTCGCGCGAACGCGCGCCATCTCCCGCCATAAACTCCAACGTCATCATGAAAATAAAAGAAGAAAGGTCAAAGCTGTCGAAACATTAGTAGTACTAGGATAACACCAAAATGTGAACTCTCTTATTAATTCCTGTCTAATTATGTCTAAGTACCTTATAAACAAGCAATCAAATGCTAAGTTATTTATACAGAAATATAAAATTATGCAAATAAGTATAGCAATAAAGCATTATTTCTTCATCTGAAAAACAGAAACTCGTACTATGGCTTTATGTAACTTTTAAAAATTCGCTCTTCTCATACCTTTTTGAAGTTTTATTTTATTTAAAGTGTAAAGTTTTTGATTTTCGACTTTGAACTGGTGACATACATTAACAAAAATACAGTATATTGATAATCAGTGAATTTTTTTAAAGTATTAAATGTTTTTCTTACATCAGTGCAGTTGTGCAGGGAAAATACTATAATACATTTAGTGCAGGGGATAGCAGATTTAAAGGCATTGTAGCTTGATTGGTAATTGGAAATCTAATAAAATTCGAATAATGAAGAATTGTATGAAGTCTATACTTAAAATTACTATTTCAAAAATAGTAATTATAAGGTCTCTCCTATAGATAACAATACAGTCGCAGGCTTTTTCCAAACTGAAACCCTATTGAGAATGTTTATTAACATCCCAGTAGATTTTAATACCTGTAAATATACCAGTTTCAATTGCACTATATAATCTTTATTAATGTATGAGCTCGCAAAGGCATTGTAGCTTACCATTGGTCACTTATTTATTTTGATATGACTATTGGAAATCTATTGGCTGGTTCTCCGGTCTCTCAAACATCAAACCAGATTCCTATTGGCTTTTTTCGCTGCGTGACTGTCCCCCAAAGTGACGTCGCTGCAGCGAACGCCATTTTGATACTGAACACCGTGGGTGGATCGGATCGAGCACGAATAGACAGCAAAATTTACTCTTCAACACTAGATTAAGCAGCAAACCCCGAACAGACATGTCATCAGATAACCAGGACACGGAGACGCAATCGGAGCAGATGGACGAGAATCAGGTGGGGATTAGATTGGGGCTGCATAGACGAGATGATGAGACGAGGCATTCGTTGCAGTCTCTTAAGGTGTCTGTCAATTTAATCCACTATAATGTCATTATATATGCCTTAATTCCGTATTATATAAATGACTGCTTATTGCTCACTGACAGCTTAAACAGACATTTCTCTGATTCTTTGTTATTTGATTGCTAAACTGTCACCTGCATGAGTTGAAAAAGGTGATAGGCGAACATTTCGCAAGCATGAGCCTCCTTTTGATTGGTTAGTGAGCTCAGACGTCATGAAAATAACAGCGTTTGATTGGTACATTCTGTCGCTTTTCAGTTTTGTTACACCTAGCCTGATGGTGTCAGTTGGGTTGTATGAACAAAAATAACTGGGGCGCCCATTTTCATGTTTCCCTCAAAGTTTTCAAACTACTATGAAAGCAGTTGTAGAAAAAACAGATTCTGATATTTTAATTTCTTTGTTGATGTTTAATTTAAAAAAAATGAAAAATTGTTTATTGATAGTGTTGTTGTGCTAAAATGACATGCACTGTATCCATAAGAAAATTAGATTCAGGACATGATCACGAGTCCCAAGTTCATGCAGATTTTAAGAGTAGTTTTTACTGTGGGAACTTAACAGCCTTGTTTGCACTTTTCCCAGGTGGTGCTGAATATAGCAGCTCATAAATTACTTGTTATAGATCCCAGTGAATCAGCATATACTGGACCTAATCAGAAGAGTCTGTTTCTTCTCCAGGGGCCTGTTGCATAAACAGCCGTTATGTTAAGGCTATGTCTTAAGACCTAGAATGTCCAACTAGCAGTTAGCCAAGGGGCAACCAGGCTTACTTTACTGTATCAAATTAGACCAATCTATATTTTTAAGTAACTGACTCAAAGTTATGAACAGTTTTAAAGAAAAAAAGTCTAGCTTGTCGCTTTCAGTGGAGGTAAAAAGAATATCATCATGGTAAACTGAATTTAAACCCCTTTGATGAAAAACAACGTTTTATTTTATTATTATAATTATTAGACCTGTTTTTGATCAATACCATTGGGGGAAAATGAAATGTCATTGTATAGTAGAATAAACTATACAGGATTCTGCCTTTGTGTTTTAAAATGCTGTTTTATGAATTATTTGTGACTCAAAGGGTGTAGCATGTAGAACACAAACTTAGTCCTGAGGATTTACAAACCTGTTTTTCTACAATCTGCCTTCTGTTACAATTGAATGCAAATGTGTCTTTTAGCCAGCGTTATATGCAAGAGTTGCCCCTATTGACTCACTGTCTAGTTATTTGCAAAATGGTCTTAATCTCAAGTCATGCATTCATAATGGAAGCATACTTAAATGTGTATACTGCAGTTTATATCATTATGTGTTTTGTTCTTTACAATTATCCAAGCCTCAGTCTAAACACACCACCACATGATTCCTCAGCTTAGGGCGAAGCAGAGGATGATTCAAAATGCAAGCACACAAATAAGAGGGAAAAATATATGTTGGTTCTCAAATATTTATCTTTCTGTAACCTACAATATCTTGGTACGTTTTGCTGTACTATACAATTGCAAGACCTGAAGACAGATTTAGCTGTTTTACTGTTCAAAACGTGTTGTTCGAGAAACGTGAAGATGTTTACAAATCGCCTTGACTCTGATGTTGTATTTCAGTTATGACAGAATTTCCAAGTGTTTGTTTATTTTAGCTTGCATTCAAATTGAAACCAAAATGTAATTTCCCTATCTAATATAGTGAAGTCAGAGAGTTGTTATAAACAACTGATAATTTGATGCCAAACTAAATAGTCTTGTTGTACCTTGCCCTGAAATGTGTTTAAAGAACCACACCTTTTGGGAATTACAGGAAGAATGATATGATGAAAGGGGTTTTGTTTTTATTGTTTTGCTATTATTTTGTGAGAATGAGATTTATTACTTTGAGTTTTGAGTGTTGATTATTAGTTTGTTCCGTCTTCCACCTCCAGTGTTTAATAAAGATTGTTTACATAAACTCATTCAAAACAGAAATTAATACATTTCAACAAGGATGCATGTTGATCAAAAGTGACAGTAAACACCTTTTACATTATTACAAAAAATCCATTTCAAATAAATGCTGTTCTTTTTGAATTTCTTTTTGAAATAATCCTAAAAAGAATGTATCACAGTTTCCACAAAAATAAGCAGCAATACTGTTTTCAAGATTGATAATAGCACCAATAGTTTCTTGAGCACCAAATCAGCATATTAGAATAATTTCATGTGACACTGAAGACTGGAGTAATGATGCTGAAAATTCAGCTTTGCCATCCATCACAGGAATAGATTACATTTTAAAATGTGTTAAAATAGAAAAAAGTTATTTTAAATTGCAATAATATTTCACTATAATACTGTCTACTGTATTTTTGATTAAATAAATGCAGCCCTGTTGAGCATAAGAGACAAAAACATGAACATTTTTTACTGACCTCATTTAATGGTTGTGTATAAGAATTTTTACTATGAAAACTTTTAAACTGATGTCTAATAACTACAGATGGCAATAAATGTTTTTCAGGAATCTCAGGACACAAACTCAAACCCAGTGCGGACAGAGGAGGCCATGTTGAAAGCGAAGTATCCCAGTTTGGGTCAAAAGCCAGGTGGCTCTGACTTTCTGATGAAGAGACTGCAGAAAGGAGTATGTTTAAAGATTTTAACATACTTTTTTACTTCAATTGTACAACTAAATAAAACAAATTTTAAAAGGCATATTCATACAGTTCCAGGTGCTTGCTACATAGCCAAAACAAACAATACCCTTTTGTACCCTTAATGTAACTTCTAAAATGTCATCCAAATTGTGCATTTTTTTGTCTCCAGCAAAAGTATTTTGACTCAGGAGATTACAACATGGCAAAGGCAAAGATGAAGAACAAACAGTTGCCTGCCGCAGCCGGTCCAGACAAGAACATCGTTACCGGGGATCACATTCCAACCCCACAAGACCTTCCGCAGAGAAAGTCCTCATTGGTTACAAGTAAACTGGCTGGCTAACATCACCCGGAGGTTTTGAATAAACCCTCTCTGCAAACTTCCAAAACCTCCCCAGCCCCACCAGATCAGCTTCATCAGGACTGGTTATCAATTTATTTTCTTTCATTTGTTTTCATTTGGGTGTTGAGTTTTGCTGTCACTTTCGTTTTACTTCAGTAGGTCTAACCTAACTGGGTTGCAGCTCTGTTACCCTCTTCAGTTTCCCACATATGGTAGGGAAAAACTAAACCCTCGGTATTCCAGACCCCAGTGGAGCATGATGCACTTTAATCTGTGTACCCTGTACATCAGTCATATTATGAACAAAACCCTGAAGACTTCATAAAATGATGTTTGATGCTTTTAAAAGTGTCAAATAATTTGAAAATGATTTAAGATTGTTTTAAAAGGCATTGTTTTACATAGATAATACTTGACAGCCATTGGCCCCAGATGTACATTGGCAGCCCTCTAATCATTCGCAATGACAAAAGAATGAATGTTTTATGAGAATTTCTTTGAAAAAGTCAGTGAACAAGTGGTTAGAGCAATAGTGTTAAAGAGTGGCTGGTAGGGTGTGTAGCCTTCATCACCTCTTCTACCTCTCGCTCTCTAAGTATGGCTCAGTTTAACCAAATAACAGCTGCTTACGACTGGATGGTTTTACTATTCTCAGCCTTCACCTTCCATGGTAGGATCTGAGCAAGCGGTTCCAATCAGGCTGATTAGATTATTGTAATCGTAGCTTTTGGGTGTAAACAGAGAATGTTGTAATTCACTGATAATAGCCAAGAGCAGAAACGGTCTTTGTATGTGGCATGATAAGGAAAGGGGCTTAAGAAAATTATTATCATAGCATACGTTACGCGTCAAACTTTTTGGTATGTTTATAATAAGTAGTGGCTATTTGTGTTCAATCTCACTGGCATCGGGAGTCAATCTGTTTTCCTGTACACTATCAGCAGTGTGTTTATTAATGGGATTATTTTGTTATATCCAACACGTATGTAGTATGATGCACATGACCCTTTTGATCATCTGAGATGCAGTCATCTTGTCCGTCTTAACAATGTGAGTCTATTTGGTCCTAAATATCTATGTATATTTTAAGGAAGGAGGTGTAGAAGGAAATTTGCAGAATGGAGCATCACCTTTGGTTCAATATTTGTAAAATATGTCAGATTTAAATAGTAAAATGCTCTACTTAAACTTGGACACAGTTACATGTTTAAACACAAAAGAATTGGAAAATATTAGGCCTACCCATATATTGCTTTGACATGCAGCTTATTATTGGGTTTCAAACCAACATCAAACATACAAATGACTGAATATCATATCCTATGACTCATTTTTGTTTGTATTATCTGTGGTCTTTAAAGAGATACAGTTTCTCATCATTTAGCGCAGTAGTGTTCTCCAGAGGACATGAATCGATAAACCTCTGTAGTTTCTGCAAAGTTTGTAAATCATTGGAAACTTTGTAGTGGATCTTAACAGCTCATTTATTCCAGGTTATAACATTGTGCACTCTTTATAGAGTCCTAGTATGAATATAGATACCCTTACAGGGAAATCTAGACTCGACCTAGGCAGTTTTACAGTCCAGGTGTCTAATTCAGGATTTGCAAAGTCTAATCAAGTTGCCCCTTCTAAAACCATACCTGCCTACACGTGGCCTGAAGATTTAAAAGAAAATGTGTTTAGCCATGTGAAGCTAACAATAAAACATGTATATTAATGCATGTTATTCTTGGTAATAAAAAAAAAAAATATATATATATATACTGTACCATCACTATGTAAATTTCACTAAATGGTGAATTACATTTAAGGGATTGAATGTGTTTTTTTCCATATATGGTTGAGGTGCTGGTGGCAGTTGGCAATACATCAGGGAAATATGATGGTCTTGCACTTAGCATTTTTCACTCAGTGGTATGTGTGGATGTACAATGTTTCCTTTGAGGAATGCATTATTGCACAATGCTAGGAGATAATCTTATTTTGTGCTGCAGCCAAATTGTAAATAGTCAAACTGTGCATCTGGTGTCATATTTGTGCAATTTGTCTTGCATTCTGTTTTGGTTGTCTTTAAAATTTTTAAATGTTCTTTCCAATATTCACAGAGCTTTGTTTGATCTTTTTATTTGTTAATATCATGTGTCTGAATCTCTCTGCTTTTTAATGCAACATGACAAGAATATCATCAAACTAGTGTGAGAAATGTAAATATGGGGGTTAAGGATTCTTGCATTGTAATTAAAGAAATCTTCGTAATTGAATGGATTAAATTCAGACAGGTCTGAACTGAAAACCTTCCACTTCTACAATGTGATATTCATGTAACATTAATTGTAACCAACAATTTAAGGCTCTCTCGCTATATAAAAATATGTTCATGATTTGCATACTATGAAGCATTTGGTGTTTAATTATTTCTATGTTTCATCCCCATATGCATTATTATTTCAGATGTTTTGCTTGAATTAATTTGTGTTTGATAATGGATTTCCAGAGTCATCAGGTTCCTTATAATTATATTTACACGGAATGATGGCTAATAATGAAGCAAAGATAGATGTTTAAAATCAATATTGGAGCTGTCTGAACTTCAAATAAAGTTTTACATTAATAGCAAAAACAATGAGTGTTACTTTTTTCCTAACGAAAGGTTTAAAACTTCCACGTGTTTACTTTGGTTTTATTTGACCTATTAAAAACTTACGTGCAAGTAAAATCGAATGAATGATCACAGGCTACAGACATCTTTTTTTAAAGGTCGTGTGAAGGTCTCAAATTGTCAATTTCTAAAATTATTTACGGCAATTCTTGTTTTGCTGTGAAAAGAAAGGACACTGCAAAACTGATGTAATCAAGGAATTAAAAAAAGACGCGCGTGCGGCGATCAGTTTACACAAGTGTGCCACTCATAATCATTCACACGTTTTTTTGTGTAAAATATGTAGAGCTGAACATTCTCAGTGTTTAGTTTCTAGTGTACCGATTTTAATCTCGTTTTTAAAATGCAAAACGGAGCTCTATAAAAAATACATCCTGAACCGTGAGAAATCTGAACTTTTTAGCTACTCATTTGGGTGTGCTGCACGTTATAAATTCTAGCAAATTCTACAAATTATGTTTTAGCCTACAACTATTCCACTAGGGGGAGCGCCGCTCTTTGAAAAGCTGAAATGGGCGGATCTAAGAAAGAACAACAGGGTGACATTTTTCAAACCCACACATACACTTCTTGTTTTCATAAACATCTCTGGTCATTCATAATAAACAGAATGGTCGTTAATAATCCTACCAAACTCCTAACGGTGAACCATTTTGATATGACATGAAATTATTTTAAAAATCGTTCCTGAGAATGTAAATATTCTCAATGTCACAAATGTGTTTAGGGGGGTTTGCACGAACGTGGGACGCATTTTACGTGCAGAACGCGCTGTCATCGAGGTTTCGAAAGCGCAGTTCAGTACGTGTGTCGTCAGTGATTAAACAGGTCAAAGCCCCGCCCCTTCCGAGATAAAAGAGTATAAATGAGCAGAAATTTCTAGTTCCGCGCTTCCGCTTTGCACAAGTACAATGTAGGTTAGCTTTCGGTTTAAATTGAAATTTAGAAAGACGACGTTTCCTCTTAAATGCATCGTCGATTTACTGGATTAAAGGCATTGATGTGAAGTTGCAAACATGTTGCCTGGGAGTAAAGTTTCTTGGCCATGCTTTGGAATAACAGCTCTTAACGTCAACAGCTCTAGTGGGTTTAGTGGCAAGCAACTGGTAATGCCAGAGCTGAAAGCTCAGAACCAGTTTACAGGGAACGGTCTCCAAGGCTCGGTCCCATCCTCGCCTGGGTCGGATTGCGTGGAAATAGATGATTACACGTCCCTTGAAATGGAAACAAGAGAAACTATTGACATTTTCTTAAAAAACTTTACAGGACTCCCTCATTCTAAAATTGGAAAAAAACAAGTTTTGTCAACGATGAAGCGGGTTGTGGAAAGTCTCGCGGTAAAGCACGAAATCGCTTACAAAGGTAATTTCACAAGTTCTCACTTTATTTTAACATGTAGCGCTCCACTGTTCCCCTTTCGCTTCGTTCATAATGCTTGTTGTTGATAAGAACAGGTTAAATATTGTTAAAGAGCCATATTGTTAAAGAGCCTCACCCTCTACACACGCACCTGGCCTGGCAGGTTGCTCCACTTTATGCCACGTATTTTCACATTTATGATTCCGCACAGTGACCTCTAACATTTGACTCTCTCAGGTATGATTGCACGTTTGGATCTGGAGCAGAATGGAGAAGATATGAGTTTCATTACGAGTGTGGCAACGGAAATCTTCAGCGATGGCATCACAAACTGGGGCCGTATTGCAAGCTTTCTGACTTTTGGGGCAATTGTGTGCAAGTATCAGAATGACAGAGGACTTGGCAAGTGTGTGAGTCTGGTGGCGGAAGACATCGCTTCCTATCTTCTCACAGCCCAGCGGGACTGGCTGCTCAAAAACAAAGCATGGGTGAGTTTTAATTCCCCACCCCACACCCACCCTTCACAGGACTGCATACGTGCTTGTTTTTCTTTGTTTGTAACCTGCAATCACCTTGTGTATGTATATTCTTTTCCTTAGGATGGCTTTGTGGATTTTTTTCATGTCCCGGATACAGAGGCAGCTGTGAGAAACACACTGGTGGCCATTGGTAGTGTGGCTACATTTGGAGCTGCACTTGCTTATTTGATACGATGAATCCACATGGACTTTGTGACACATGTTGAGAAACAAGAACTCTTTTTTTTGAGAGTGAGCGAAAGCATTTTCAATACATGTTTTTCTTTTCATGTTTTTCAACTACTCTCTTAAAATCTAAAACTATTTTTTTATTAAAAATAAAAATTTAAAATAATTTTCAGCGGTCAGATCTGAATTGCAGGTAACTCTTTCAATGACAGATGATTTCCTTTGTGCAATCACATTTGAAATGATCACTTCCAAGCAGTGTTCTCTGTACAGACATGTTCATAAACTTGGCTGAATTGCGAAGTTGGCAAAGCACACAAGCTTTTGTTGCAATTGCTGTATAGTTTTGTGTAATAAGCTATTCTAGTACAACACCTTCTCATGGTTTCACTTCCTGTTTCAGAAATATTCTTTTCCAATATAATGCACACGTATAACGTCAGGTGCCGGCTATAGCGGATTTAATAAGCTTTAAAGCTTTTATCTAAAAGCTCCTGGTTCTGTTTTGACTCCTATTTTAGGTCTATGACAGCAGTTAAAGGGATAGTTCACCCCAACATTTAAATTCTGTCATTTACTCTCCAAGTTGTTCCAAACCTGTATGAAATTTTGTTTTCTTCTGCTGAAAGCAAAATAAGATATTTTGAAAAATATGAGTAACCAATATAATAAGTTTATTGGCCCCATTCATTTCCATAGTATGGAAATAAAATTACAGTGGAAGCCAATGGGGAAGTCAACTGTTTGGTTACCGACATTCTTCAAAATATCTTTTTTGTGTGTTCAGCAGAAGACATTCATATAGGTTTGGAACAACTTGAAGGCGTGTAAGTACTGTCAGTGTTTTCCTTTTTGGGTGAACTAACTCTTTACCCACAAGGCTGCTAATTGTTTTCTTTACCTGCTAGTTAACCTGCACTGAAATGTTTAGAGAAGTTTGAGAACATGTTATGGTCATTGACCTTTTTCTGTGAATATACTGTTCTCTAAACTGCTAATTAAAACCAAAAAGCTGATACCTGTGTTTTATTTTCTTAGGTGATTGAATTGAAACCTTAACCACAAAGAATCTATTAAACACTTATGGCAAGGTCATAACTTAAGTCTGAAGTATGTGCTTTATCTGGCCCATTATTATTAGCTTCAAAGATTTTCTAGCTTTTCTTCTGTACATTTTATTGCAGCAGAGTTGTGTAAATTGCCAAAGACTTTACATTTCCTGTGTAGTCTCTCGTTTCAGCCTTTGGTATGAAGTTGCACTGTGCTGTGGAAATGTTTTAGGAGGTTCGTCAGAGTGAAACTCACTGGCACAAAGAAACTCATTGATGAATACCATTCATACATGTATCTTATTTCAAAGAGTTCATTGTGTTGCTTAGTCACCTTGTTGAATCACTGTCTACTAGGGGACCTAAGCATATTAATACTTCATTATATACAAACCCCTCACCATCCTTCTGGCTGTCATCACGAGTCACTACTGTAACCAAACCTCTCAGCCAATGTGAATGACTGTCAGCTAACTGTAATCTGGTTTTGTCTCAAAAGTAGAATTAAAAATTTTGAACCATAGTCTGGCTGAGATTATTCTTCGAAACATGCATTAGCACAAATTCCTTTTGCTTTTTAACTGTAGAAGGTGTTAAAATCATGACTCAGTATTCGTCATCATGTTCCGATCCTTCCTCAAACAGAGAATTTTCTCAGTTGATTTCTTAATCTCGTTTGCTGTACTTTTTGCTTGAAGGCGCTGGATGTAGCTAGTTTGGCTTGCTTTTTTAATGTGGAAGTAATGTTTGTTAACAATATGACTGTCACACAGTAGAACCGTGTGATTTACTTAACTGACTTTTTCACTTCCGTATCCATGACTCATGTTTTAATGCTGAATGGCCATGGTTTTAAAATCACATGGGGTTCCAAAAAACTTCAGCAGGTGACATAGTTCAAAATGTTTCTGGATCAAATCTCTGTGAATGAAATCAGATGTTAGTGGCATATCCACTTCCTTAATGAATGACTTCCACTGCCTACAAAAAGGGCACAGGAAATGTTTCCATAGCGAAATGGAAATCGTACTATTTTTGCATGTGTGTGTCAAATGTTAGTGATAAAGAAAGGCTAGTTCGAAAAGTCATGAAACACGAGCAAGGCAATGGATCTCCAGTGAGGGTCCAATGAGAGGGAAGATGTTATGACGTCTATGAACATCTGCTAGAGAACATGCTTGGTTTGTATTTCTACAGCAGGGGTGTCCAATCCTGCTTCTAGAGGGCCACCATTCTGCAGAGTTCAGCTCTAACACACCTGCCTGGAAGTGTTTAGTGATCTGGAAAACCTAATAAACGAAAATAAACGAAGGCCTTAAAGGGGTATCATCCAAAAATGAAAACTCTATAATTTACTAACTGTCATGTTGGTCCAAACAGGTTTGACTTTCTTTCCAATGTGGAACACAAAAGAGAATAATATGAAGACAGTTTAAATTTTTGTCTACAATGAAAGGCAATGGGGTCCAAATCAACTTGGACCCTATTGAGATTCATGAAAAAAAAAAAAAAAAAACTGATACATTTTTTCACAGAAGAATGAAAGTCAAACCGGTTTAGTGTGACATGACAGAATTAGAACTATCCCTTTAACTCCTACAACCAGGAATTTCCTTATCAACAAACATGCAACATATACCATCTTTTTTTCAAGATCTATGATAGGCCTATCCGCTTGCAGGATGTAAAACAATTGTCTACTTAAAAAGTCTTTAACTAATTTAAAAAAAGAATCCCCTGACAAGAACACCTGTCCTAAAATGTTTTAGTCCTTCATTAGGAAGTCTGTAGTTGGTTTTTCTGGCTAAGCTAAACAATATTTGTGTGAGTGTGCTTATTTGCTCAGATTGGCTTCGTGTCTGGTTACATGCCACCCGTGGAGTCTAATGAGGACTATGGTAATGACACACACAGGGCCTCACCTGATCCTCCAGTTCACCTGCTGTGGTTACCTGAGCCAGGAGGCACATGGCTGTTAAACTCTGTGGAATACAGGTAAAGCCATGTGACAACACATGTACTAATCTGTACAGTCTTGTGCTATGGTAGTCCTGGAATTGTATTTTTTTTTTTAAGTATTACAAAACAGACATCTTTAATGAGGGGTTAAAAGCCACTCATTTTTGATAGATGTATTTTTGCTTGGCCAGTGTTGGTTCTTTAAAATAACTGAAATTCATTTACAAAGTGATATCGAACTGTATGTGGTCAAGAGTGAAACTACTTAATAGCCGTGCTGTTATTTGAAAAACATTAGAACGCCCATCAGCCAATCAGTATCAAACAAGAATGCTGTGTTATACAATAGACTGTGGATAAAAATCCAGTGGAACATAATAATGCAAAGAATAATGTACAAATAAATATTGAGTGTCAAAAACAATGTGCATATCCTGACTGCATTTATTATTAGAAACTGCTTTGTTAGATGTAGGCCTATTGTCTATTTACTTCTGTGAATGTGGAACAATAGGAGGAGGAGCATGCATTATTGTCTAAAGCATGGGTTTTCAAGCAGGGATCGGAAGCTAGTTATTTTACTTTATAAAGTTTTAAATATGAATGTTTTTCTTACACAAACTCATCGTTTTGCTTCAGAAGGCCTTTATTAACCCCCCGGAGCCATGTGGAGTTTGTTTATGATGGATGGATGCACTTTTTTGAGCTTCATAATACTGTTGGTTGCAATTCACTGCCATCATGAAGCTCGGAACCGTCAAGGTGTTTATAAATATAACTCTGATTGTATTCGTCTGAAAGAAGAAAGTCATATACACCTATAGGATGGCTTGAGGGTGAGTAAAACATGGGGTAATTTTCATTTTAAAGTGAACTACTCCATTAACGAGGCTGATGATATTTACTGCGTTAACTACTTGACAAAAGCTGATTGGTTCATTGGTTCATGTTGCATCTGTAAGCCAATGAGCTTGCTGCTCACAACATTAAAATGGCTGATTGGCATTTCAGAGTTCCTCCAAAACCATCCACCTTCCCGGGCTCCACCTGAATAGATCTGCTATGGGTAATTTATATAAATATGCTATTTGTGCAGCAGCAGTATGTCTAACACAATCACAGCAGCGCATCAACGTATCTGTTGGCTGTAGCAAGTTCCTGTACTTGCTCTGCAGCAGCAGCAATAATCTACAACAACAGCAGCAATAATCTACAACAACAGCAGCAATAATCAACAGCAGCAGCAATAATCAACAGCAGCTGCAATAATCTACAACAGCAATAATCAACAGCAGCAGCAATAATCAACAGCAGCAGCAATAATCAACAGCAGCAGCAATAATCTACAACAACAGCAATAATCAACAGCAGCAGCAATAATCTACAACAACAGCAATAATCAACAGCAGCAGCAATAACAACAACAACAGCAATAATCAACAGCAGCAGCAATAACAACAACAACAACAGCAATAATCAACAGCAGCAGCAATTCAGCAGCAGCGTATAGCAGATCTATTCCACCAGATGTCAAATACATTAACATTGTCATAACCATTACCATGCTAAAATCTTCAGAGAGTTGTCATGATTGAAATATTTATAAGTATAAAGACCCAATTAATACTGTGGAAAAATGTATATAAATGTGTTGATTACATTGCGTTTTTTTATTGTACTCTAATATTTATATTATTTAAATACATTTTATTGTATATATTTTACAAATGTTATTTACTTGAATCAAATGTTTTTATTTATTCATTTATTTATCTATATTCTTTTAATTTTAATAAATTTTATTTGTTTATCTAGTTAATTAGTTTAATCTTTTTTATTTTTTATTTATTTAAATATTTTTTTTACACTGCTTTTCTCTAAACTTTTCCACGGACCTCTTAGCATTGCAGTCAAACGAACATACGGATTCGACTTAAGAAGCGCAACCTATGCGAGTAAATGCGATGTGCTGCTGATATTTACGCTACAGCATGACGCACTATACTACTTCCGACGTCATAAGTTATCGTAAGTTGCGCTTTAT